CTCACTGTTTCCAAGCCTTTTTGACTAGATTTGATCTTTTTCTCCCGGCAACGTTTGAAGCTCACCACTCGGGTGAAACAGGCACGTGGCGTCGGACGTGTTCAGCGCAGCTTGCACGTTGTGACTATCTAGCGCTACCATTGATTTGGAACAGGTCCCAGATTTCCAGTAAGAACCTGGATACGGTAGACGCGGGAACAGTCAAGCTAGATCACTGCGCGGTCGCAGCTTGGGTTGACCTCACTTTTTCGCCACAGCCTAAGACCAATCGGGTCAGCTTCAATCGGCAGCACATCAAGAAGATCACACCGGAACAGATTGCACAATTGAGTGAGGATCTGCCGGATGTCCCATGGAACCTGAATGTCCATGAACATGCTTGTGTTTTCACGAACTCCATAGCGGACTGGCTTGCGTCCAAATTTCCAGCAGTGAAAAACCCACCAAGACGATCATACATTTCGGAAGCAACTTGGGCGATCAGGAAAGATAGACTGCACCATCGACGGGCTCTTCAGGGTGGCAGATACCAAATCGAAGTCTATGATCTTGCCATTAGCTTTGTCGCTTGGAAAGAGCAAAAGCCTCTGGCCGAGATCCATGATCGCTCCTGGGAGGTTTTATGGCTCATCTTCAAACGGATCAGACAGGCGGGTGATGCCTTGGGACGTTCCAAGAAAGAATTGAGACAGGCTCTCCGTCAAGATCGAAATGTCTACCTTGAATCGGTCACTGAGGACGCCATACATGGACCACCTAATGAACTCTACAAACAGCTTCGACGTGTCGGAGTTGCAGGAAAGAAATACCAACGAGGAGTTCAACCGCTTCCATACATACAAAAGAATGATGGGTCCATCATTGAATCTTTTGATGAATGGGCGGAAGAGTGGAGAGATTTCTTTGCCAGACAAGAAGATGGTGTCAAGACGACAAAGGCTCAACTTCTTGAGCTCAGTTCGCGCCCAGCTCAATTCACTGGCATTACATGGGATCAACTCCCAACACTCACTGACCTCGAAGCGGCCATGAGAAGAACAAAAGGAGATAAGGCTTACTTTGAGGACAATGTCCCGGGTGAAATTTTACATGCTGCGGCAACAGTCCTGGCAAGGAAAGGATACCCACTATTGTTGAAGCATTTCCTTCTTGGACAAGAACCGGTGCTTTTTAAAGGCGGCAACTTGGTACAAGCATACAAGCACAAAGGAGATACAAGCCAGATGTCCTCTTACCGCTCTTTGCTGGTTAGTTCGACACTCGGCAAGGTGCATCACAGGCTTGTGCGGCAGCAACTTGCTCCATATCTGCAAAGATATAGTGAGCCTCTCCAATTGGGCGGGTTACCACAGAGATCCGTGACCCAAGCTTCACATGCCCTACATGCCTTCTTGCATGATTCGTGGGCAAGGAAAATGTCCACTGTGGTGGTATTCGTTGACATTCAACAAGCTTTCTACAGAGTGCTCCGAGAACACATTGTTGATACGAGCATCTCTTCAGAAGGAGTTCGTCAGTTGTTTGATCGACTTCAGCTGCCACCAGACACGTACCAAGATTTCTGTCTCTATACGGAGTTTCCAGGTGCGCTCCGACAAGCGGATATTCCGGACTATTTGCAAAGCTTGATGCAGAATGCCATGACTGGTACATGGTTCTCAATGAAAAACACAACGCAACTCACTCTGACACGGAAAGGCACACGTCCTGGAGATAGCTATGCTGACTTGCTTTTTTCTTTCACTTTTGCCAGATTGATGAAGCAACTTGGCATGGAACTGCAGCCATATGGTGTGCTCTCGGAATTTCGATGGAGTGGAGAAAAAGAGCCGGTGCCAAGCCATAACAACCATGTCATTCAATGTTTCGGACCCATCTGGGCCGATGATCTTGCAATCATGTTGCGACATAGCGACCCGACTGTCCTATTGCAAAATGCGTCCATCATAGTTGGAAAATTGTTTGACAGACTGACTGTCGCGGGCATGACTGCTAATCTTGGACCCGGCAAAACCGAAGCACTGATTCGACTAGTGGGGAAAAACAGTTCGCGTGTTAAGAAGGTTCTGGCTATACATGGCCAGACACTCACAACTGTTTCCACCACTGTGACTGACGCAATCAGAGTAACTGATACCTATAAACATTTAGGGGTTTGGCTGCAAGCCAATGGAAGTGCCTGGAAAGACTTGCGAGTCCGCTTTGCAGCTGCACACACAAGAGTGACGCAGTATAAGACTTCCATTTTTGGGAATCAGAAAATGCTGTTGTCAAAGAAGATGCAGCTCTTTGCTTCACTGGTCATTTCGGCTTTGCACTATAACCTCGCCGTATGGATGCCGTTTAATAAAACGATCATGTCTAACTTCACACGAAAGCTCAATGGACTGCTCAGAAGAGTTGCATTTATGCACTTCGGTTTGGCTGTCAAAGAATGGAGACAACAAGAGCTTCATGTGAAGATGCAAGTTCTTCCACCTGTTGAACAACTGCATACTGCAAGATTAAGGTACTTGCACCATCTCATTACTGCTGGTGATACTGTGCTTTGGGCCATTTTGCAGCAGAATCCTGACTGGTGGAACGAGGTTGCACGAGCAGTGCAATGGATGCAAAATCAACGACGCGCACCGCTTCCTTTCCCAGGCCTTTTGGAAGATTGGGATGCATGGAAAACATACATCGCGCATTCGAAAGGCAGATGGATGAGTATTGTTGGCAAAGCTGGGAAACATGTCCTAGCACAAGCTGAACTACATCAGAACTGGGATAAGTGGCACTATGAAGCCATCAGCTTGCTTCAGCCACACCTTGGAGAACCCATCGGACATGTCTTCAAGGCCTCGACTGACGGACATGCTTGTATGGCGTGTAAGAAATGGTTTTCTTCCAAATCTGCCTGGAGTGTTCATGCCTTCAGAGTTCATGCCCGAGTCACTCCCGCACGCCTCCTGGCGAATGATCAACAATGTGGAGCATGCCTCCAAATTTACCAATCGCAGGCATCGCTTGTCAGACATTTGACATATAGCCAGCACTGCCGGGACTGGCTACGTACCCGACAAGGCCCTCTTGAACTGGCTCCAGGCCTTAATAGCAGACATGAACAGCAACATCGTAGTTTCTACCAAACGCCTCCGATACAAGCGGAAGGGCCTGAACTGCCACCGAGGAATATCGAAGCATATGACATGCTGGGAACGGTAGAACAAGAACAATGGAACAGATGGACTGCCAGTGTGAACAGTTTTGATGCTTTGACTGATCCAGAGAAGTTTGGTTCCCTGCTCATTCAACAGACGCAGGACACTACTCTTCATTTTGATGAAATTCATGCTGTGTTTGAACACTGGATTCAGTATCAACAAAGACAATGCACCAATGAGACCTGTTTCTGGAATGATGTCCATCTTTATTTTCAGAAGAACTTTTCGCAGGAAATTTTCATGCCAAACAACCATCCAGAAGCTGATACGCGACCTGATCCGCATCTTGTCATCCGTGTATGGCTTCAGCAGAAGTTCGAACAGAACTTCGTGCCGAAAGCAATCCGGTATAGACCGATCCTAGTCGCACATCTGTTTTCTGGACATAGAAGACTAGGAGATCTCCAAGAAGAGTTGGAGAAGCTCCCACTTAGCCCGCATTTGCGCGCGCTTAGTGTCGATATCGTGTTTAGTGAGGAGCATGGAAACTTAGCTAATCCTGCGGTCTTTCATCGTTTTCGAACCGCAATCGAGATGGGAATCCTGGTCGCTTGTGTATCTGGCCCGCCCTGTGAAAGCTGGAGCCGGGCCAGGCTGCACGGCAAAACAGATGGTGGACCGGATATCCTCCGTTCAGCTGAACATCTCCCTGGTCTTCCAAAGCTATTCCTGCGAGAGTTTGCTCAGGTTGCTATGGGCAACCTCTTGTTAGGAATTTCGATACTGCTTGCCATCCTTTCTTGGATCAACGGATGTTTCTTTTTGATTGAACATCCTGCGGACCCTCCCGAGGTGCATGCTGCATCAATTTGGAGGATTGACCTAATCCGACTGCTCACAAAGCTGAACGGCATCAAGCTGTTCAGAATATGGCAAGGGCTATATGGCGCAATTTCGCCAAAACCAACAAACCTGCTCATGATCCATCCACCCCCTTCTACGCTGCAGATCCTTCGTGCAGGGCAGTCTCAGAACAGCCTACCGAAGCACACCTCGATTGGTAAGATGGCGGACGGTACATGGGCAACCATGACCCTCAAGGCCTATCCACGTGCCCTGTGTGCCACACTTGCACGCATCATCGAGGCACATGTACAGTTGCGGGGATTTGACGACTCTACGGATGAGTTGCCGGAAGATCTTGAACAGTTGGTCATGGCATTGTGTGTACCCATGCCACAGACCGATAAAATCGGTCCTGACTTCCACCCAGTAATTCGATGCACGAAGGCTACCGGCTCGACCGAAGGCTGCTTGAAGTTCAAAAAAAAAGACCTTTTGGGGTGGCAGTGCCATCTACTCTGAAATCACTGGAGTTAGATATGAATAAGAGAAGAACCTGTGAAGAGCTACAAAATGAACCCTCATTTGTCAAGCTTTTGCCCAACACCTTGCATCATTACTTGGCTTCTCACTCGTCGTCGTGCGCCACCGTTGTCATCCACTGATTTCTTGGATATGCGCGAGACTTCTAGGGGCTAGCCCAATCGTACAATGATCCAGTCAACCTCAACCAATCGATTGCTCAAGAGTCACATCAATCTATAAAGATCTTTTGTGATGTGAATGAACTTGTTTTGATATATTTTTTTTGATAGAACTCAGGGCCCTCCCAGCTTGTTGATTTGGGTTGTGTAATAAAAGGAAATAGACCAAAACACATTGGCCGGAGGTCTTCCTCTTAAGATAAACACCATTCTTTACGCATTGGATTGCAAATCATTGATCAATCCCTTTGCTCCTGAATCCGCTGGCTGCTCCCCTGTTTTTTCGGGTCGACGGATTCGTCTCCAGGACAGCAGCGAGCTGGGGTGGTTCCCCCTCTCCCATACCGTGCTGGAGAAGGAGGACCACCGAGGCGCACCTGACAGTGTCAGGTTGAACGTTGTGTTTTTTTCGGTGTTTCGAAGATAGGAAGAAAGTGAGAGGAAAAGAGAAGGAATGGGCCCCTGGGCCTCCAAAAATTAGGTTGCCCCCATATACTTAACGGGACCCAAACACCTTCTTTGAGTCCTATCCTTTTTTCCTTTTCTCAACAGCTTTGAATGTTGACTCTCTATGCGATGATGTTACTTATACACACATGTGTGTGTGTTGACACGAACAGCTGAGAACAAAGCTGCTCAATGGTATGACGATGTCAATCGACACACCTTGATTGCATCGTACTAGTAGGGTCCAAGCTCATAGGTCCAACAGGTTCCTGCACCGGCACAAGAAGGATGGCGCTGATCGTGCGTGTGTGGTTCCTTCTGACTGGAACCCGATTGGTGACCGCAAGCTTCCCCTACTGTGAAAGTGGCACCACAACTGCGGGGGGAAGCACAAACACCAGTGAGGTGCCCGTGGAGGTAAACATTCAGGGGCAAAGTGGCAAGTTCACGATCGTCCCAAAAGGATCCTCGGGCAACTCGGTGGGCATTCGGGTGACCATGGATGCACTTCGCGAGGTGGATGCATCAGGTACAGCGGTGGGCCAGTCGGGCAGCGTGAAGCACTCCCTGAACACCTTCGCCTCGCAGTCCTTCACCGTCGGTGCGGTCGAGCAAGTGTCGATTGGTTCGGTGAGTGCGGCAAAGATCTCCTTTGAGTCCACTATCTCCAGCATCGGCAAGCTGGGCGTGGATACATTCCTGATTGCAGATAGCGGGATGGTTGGCATGAACAATGACTCATGGGATGTGAACATGGGGGATCTGAAGTGGAACATCCGCTTGTGGGACTGGACCTGGTGCGGTGACGCAGGTGCCACCTGCAAGAATGGTGAGGTGGGTGACGCTGTCGAGCTGGACATCACCGTGCAGAATATGGGGGGTGGCTCGGCCAGCAAGAAGGATGGGGACAACAAGACGGTCTCCTTGGGTGGTTCCGCCGAATTGGAGCTCTCAACCGCGGTGGAGACGGATTGCACGTGGGTGGAGATGGCTGCTGGCTACCCAATGATCACCACCCAGGGCAGCGGCACGACGATCACCTTCCGTTTTCCCCGCTTCGCCAACTCCTCACTCTATGACCCCGTGATCTCTGGCTCCTGCGCCGAGCTTGGTCTTGAGTGCTCGAGCTCGACCACCGGCTCCAACACCCAAGTGAACGCCGCAGGTGAGGCAACGGGAGTAGCCTTGGTGGCAGGCTTGGCTTTGACCTCCTTGGCCATGGCATGAGGTCGTTGGTCTTGAGATACGTCGGGGGGTCACGTAGTCAGGACGTAGTCAGGTCAGTTTTTGTTGGCACCACTGAACACCTCCAACAAAGAGGAGGTGGATGCAAAACCCATCCAAAAAACAGTGATTTTGAATGATTTTGACAATGTTTGTATATTGATGTCGGCCAGGCCAGGCGATGGGTTCTGCGAACACTTCGGGCTGCGATGTCATGCCCGAAACACGCGACCTGATTTGTATGTCTCGAAACAGCGTGACAAGGTCCGAAGTACAGAGGCAGGTGTGGCCCAATCGTAAAACATTCATTGAGATCAGGTTTTTGTATGTTTTTGTTGATGATTGATGGCTGGTAGAGATGGACCTTGCTAAATCGCCGTTCTCAGATTTTCAAGACACCAGAAGCAGCATCGAGACACCTTCAGTAGTGAGGTGACGTCGAGAAAAGTGCCTATGAGTGATTTGCTTCCGGTAGGTCCATACCCCTCACAAATCACAGACGTCAAGACCTGATGCTGCTTGAGTCAAGAGAGGATGGTTGACGTCAGAGTCAGAGTGGGATTTCAAGCAGGATTTGGTACATAAGCGTTCACTGTTTGCTTTGCATTTGGTCCTTTGAGGGTGACTGGAAGTGCCGTACACATGAACAGCCGCGCCTGTGTGTCCAGTACAGCATGTGCGTCTGTTGACAGATTTCTACATGCTACAATGCTACATGTGTATGTTGAATTACTTTATGTAATATTTTTCTAACTTATTCAACAGGAACACATGCCAACTGCTTCCGCCTCATCCAACCAAAGATGACTAGGTTTCGTTCTGTCTCACCAGGGGAAGAGCTTGAAGGCGGTCACTGAAGCATAGAGAGGAAGCCAAAGATCGCAGAGGGTGGTTTTGATGGATTTGAGAGGCTTCGGTATCCTTTTTAAATGCCAAACATGTTCCTACTGTAACAATTTTTGAGAGATCTAGGTCTATCGGATTGCTGCAGTGTTTGCTTCGTTTTGTTCCAGTACTATGTATATTCATTGATTCATGCCTGGCTGCCACCCCAGTGATAGATGATCATCACAGTGGTACATTGTTGTGTCATTTTCCCTAGTTTTGCCGGTGCTTTTACTACCCCTACGGAGTTGAACTCACAATCATAAAGCATCCTTGAGAGTCTGCTGAGGCCCTTACAAGAAGATGTATCCCTTCAAAAAGCTAAGGGGTACCCTTCAGGCAAGATGCTTTGCTATTCGTGACCTTCTGCACAATGTGCTAGAGCAAAGTGTTGGGATCAAACACAGGGACTCATTCGCTCTTGCGAGAGCCACCTGCATCAATTTTGTCATACACACTGCACTGCACAAGCCAGAATCTGCAAAAAGGAATCATTGGCACAAGTTGATTAAGCACCCTTACGAATCTCAAGAGCCATGTTTCCTGGTTTGCATGATCAACAAACATTAATGCTGAAATAATGATCCACACCAAAAGACTTTGCACAAGTGATGATCTTGGTTTTCCAATGCTTTCGGCCAATCCCAAAGGAGATGACAAATATGTACTCCTGGCCACATATGAAACTGTCAAAGTTAGTCTATTGGGCATGGGCGCATCGCAAAGGTTCCAGGGAATAGACTGTTGTCTCCATGTTTCATGTGTTTCATGCATCATGCACATGTTCCTTCAACAGGTTCATGATTTTCCTTCAGCCCCTGTTTCAACTTCAATCTACCCTTTGGCCGCATCCTCTATACGTCGGAGTACCTTTGTCTCCTCCTCTCAGCAACGGGCGGTTTTGCCAAGTTCCGTCACTCGATGGCCACCTGTGGCGTGCGTGGAGGAGGAGACAATTGGAGGGGCCCATCTCTAGTGTCATCCTTGAGCTCCGTTTGAGCCGACCCCGTTTGGGTAAGGCCGTTTTGAGCGCCGCACAAGGGACGGGACTGCCGTTCAGTCTTTGGTAGGCAAAACAACCGAGTCGTGGAAGAATATTAGGCAGAGTGGGGACTATCAGAGGTGCATTTGGAATTGGATCGGGTTTTAGAAGAAGGCTTGTTTATTCGATGTTTGAACATGTGCTCTCAATGCGACCTTCCAGAAAGCAGGAATCCTCTGCTGGGAGAATTGTTGATAGTGTTGGAACTCATTTGGAACTCATGTTGTTCGTTTTTCGGACAGCTGCGCTCGACTTGGTCTCGCGTTCGTTGCTACTCGGGTGACATCGAACGGAGTGGATGGCACACCCGCTTCGGCCTTCGCCCGGTTCCACGCTTCGACGGTGGGACCCGGCGCCAAACGGGGAGCCGGCGACAACGGCGCTCAAGTTGATCGACCCGATGTGCTCCGATCCGCCAATGTCATCAAAGGATGAAGCCGTCGTCGGATTGTCAATACCAATGTCGTTGGGCGAAACCCGACAAGGAAACGAAAGGGGGTCATCCAGTGGGTTTCCAATAGACTACCCTACACTGCTTATGGACCTCCATTAAGCCCTGTGATATCACCAATGAGATCCTTGCTCAGAATCAGGGGTAATTAACCTCAAAGGGCCTTGAAGTCCATGCCTAAAGCATTCAGACCCCAGCATAAAGCCCGTATCAGACCCACAGTGAGGCAGGGTTTTCCAACTGGGGCGGGTCTGCAAAAGTGCTCAAATTGCCGCTGGGAGCCAAGACATGTTTTTGCGAACGTGTGGCAGCTCTACAGAACTGATAATCCGAGTTGGTACCTTTGCTTTCTGTTTCTCGCCAATATCTTGAAGCAGAAAGGGGGTGCTGGACCTTTTGGGGGGACTTGAGGGAAGGGGTGCGTTTCGGCACCACCTGGACTCAAACAACGGAAATCGTTGGGATACATCATCTCTCTTGTCAACCACTGGTTTGTATGTCGGAATTCTACCTTCAACAGCTAATGACTCTGGGTACTGACTTCCAATGATGCCGTTTGTGTTGGTTGCTTTGCGCTTCATGCATTCCTGGCGGGAGCGGTCGACTGCTCCGTGCTTGAGCGGTTGAGCAACACCTATTTTGTGTCAGCAGCGCCACTTCTATTTTAGTTGTTTGAACTGCATGAGCTCTTTTGTAGAAGGCAATACAGCCCCTTCCTAGCTGTCCAGTTTGCCTTGCAGAATTACCTGCCAACATCTCTTTACTTGGCTCAATCAGTGCTTTGTCCGAAGCCATTAACAAAAATGTCAAAACAAAAGCAATCCCAACAATCCCAATCTTGACTGGCGAAGTGTGAAGTGCTTTGGCTACACACTGAGTTTATGCATCAGACATCCCAAACATTAGCCAACTAATACTACTATCCACGACATGAGCCCACAATACACGACATACACCACCACCCCTCAACCGAAGAAAGCCACTCAACACTGTTGCCCACCCTCGCTGTGGCCCACTGTGGGCCTCTCCTTTTTCACCATGAAGAAAGCCATCCGGGTACGACCGGGCACGACGGAGTCGGGGTGAGGACCGCGGCTTCATCCGGTGGAAGCCAAGTGGGTTGCCAATTGATTGGACGGGTAGAGGGCCCTGTTTTTTAAACGTCTTAAACGTTATGTAGCATCATACAGCACATTTTACCATATTTTACCTGAAGATGAATCACGGAGCAACAAGTCAGAACTGCATGATTATATTTAACTACACATGCAGGGTAAGTTTGTAGAGAGGTGTGTCGTGCTTTGAAGCCTTAAGAAACCTGTCGCGTGCCACCTAGAATGCACACGCAAACTCCTTTTTTGATGACAGAACACCATCATTTAGAACAAGCATCCGTGCTTGCTCACAGATCTCGCCTGGCTTGCAAGTTGCAAATTGAGGCTTGGGATAGTCTCTCAGTTGCTCATTTTGCTGTTCATAGAACTTATCCAGCCATCTTTGGGGTCATGCTTGGATCGTTGTCCTGCTTGGTCGGGAGAGTTCTAACGAGGGTCGTAAAAGTGGCACCAACTCGTCCGCCCTCAGCTGCAACCCTAATTCCCCTGATTTTACCTGAAAATCATATAATCCACATACATCCACCGTCAAGTGTCACGACCAATGGACGGTGGATCTTTGTTCCCCAACAGCGACACCTTCCGCCTCGTCTTGTTCCGCCTCGCCCACCTGCGGCACCGTCGTCGCAGCCCATGGACCTCCTGAAGTCCGCTCTGGCGGAACGACAAGCGAAGGCGCACCGATGCACCGAAACGTGGGACTTTTTCTGTTGGGATCATTTTGGAGGTCCATGTGGTTCTTGTGGGGGGGGGGAAGAAGAGAAAGGAAAAGAGTCAACTCCAACCCTTGTGGCTGGTTTTGGAGCAATAGATGGATGATCATGTGAATGTCGAATCAACATGAAACGGTTGAAGTGAAACTTGGTTATGATGAAAGTCGAAACACCTATGGCCGATATGGAAGATACCCAAATCATGAAGAACGATCCAGATCATATGCAGATTCCCTGTATCCTGTATGTTTCCGTCAAAACAGTGGCGGCTACCTGGTTGTTCCTTAGAAGTTGTATGTTCAAGAGAAACAGTAGTCTTTTCTATTCTGGCAATTCTTTGGAACTCTTGTAGAAAGTGGAATTGCGTTACTCAAGCACTTTTTCTTACATGCAAGAACCCAAAGGATTCTTTTCGGACTGCTAGACTCATTCATTTCTCACACAGGAGGGCGACCATGTTTCCCCACATCCCTCGGCTCAGCGTGAGGCCCAAAAGACCATTGCCGAAACGGGACAAAAGTGCTGCTCTCGAGGGGAGGAGGGGACACCCGTGTGAAATGGTCCAAATGGGGCCAAATGGAAACCATTTCATAGGGGCCAAATGAGGACATCCATAGGAAATCCCTTTGCCCATCTTTGCTCTATAGCTCCTTTTCGTCGGCAAATTGGTACGGAGTCTTCCATGGAAGCTTCCGCTGGTATTGGTCATGATTGCTGAGCTCAGCTCTGTTGATCAAGCCATCGGCATCGCAGATTGGAGATGGTGGTTGACATAAAACAGATGGGTTTGGATATCCAGTTGGGTCTATGGAGTGCCATGTCCGGCTTTTATGGTCTTCCACAGGGCTTGGACTTGGCAAGAGATTGACTCCAGCAGAGACCGTGCCACGCCTCCGTGGAAGCCAAGGTGGATCAAACGTAGCGAGTTGGAAGCCAAGCGTTTAGAGGACTGATCTGGAACATGGCGAGCGACATGTATAGCTTTTTACTATTGCATGGTTGGTTGACCAATAGAGGGGATACATACCCCATGAAACAACCAATAGAGGGTACCAGGGTACCTGGAATCGACCCACCCCTCTATTTGGTGCCAAAAGGACCTCGGTGAGCGATGGGGAATCCCCAGTGACGTTGATCATACCGACCCTTGGTACAGTATCAGGAGAATTCAGAGCATTTGTTTCGGGGTGGTGCAGTGGTGCATACCGAACAAACCTATGAGTTCCTCAAACCTATGAGTTCCTCAAACCTATGAGTTCCTCAAACCTATGAGTTCCTCATTGGGCGTGGGATGTCTCAAGGGCGGCACTGGAAAAAACGATCTCTCAGTTCGTTGGGATTGGCATTGTGGGGGGATGAACATCCTACCTCCACCGAGGTGCACGAGACATGACAGCCATGGAACCTCCTTTTCCATTGATATGAACACAGTGGAGATCAGTGGAAGGAGTATCCCTTCTTGGGAAACTGTCACTGTCACCCGTGCAGAATCTTACCTTTCTTGGATGCGTCATCTCACCCGGAGCCCTGAACCCTGCTGTGGCTTCACCTCCTTAGTATACTCTATTCCCTTCATCTTCCGCGGTTCTCCAGGTTCTCCGGTGCCATGGTACCACCTGTGTTGTTTTTTCGATTGCGGAGGCGGTACGTG